TTTACAGAAGAGATTTTAAAGAATAATTTTAAGAAGATAAATATGTTTTAATTAAAATATACCGAGTACGTCTCAAAAGTGGCTCACGACTATAACTTTTTTATTTTTTCAGATAAAAAAACGAGATTTGGTATGTTAGTATTTTATGACATAAATTAGGATTGATTGACGGTTTTCAATTGTTTTCGGTCACTTCCTGTTTCACCGGAAATGACTACAACTTTTGATTGTTAAATGGCACTCTCCGTATTTTTTACTTTATTTTATAGAAAATGACTTTCTGAATCGAATGACATATATGTCAACTTTTGACAAATTCACTCAAAGACAAATCGTATTTTAAATTTCAATCTAGAGTGCCATGGCTGTGTTAAAAACACTAATTTTTAATCAGAAGCCTTGGAAAATAGATTTGATCGTCTAATGTTTTTAGTGCCTTGTCCTGGCCGGTTAAAAGATACCCATATCGTATTTTTAATCATATCTCAATTTTTTTAAATGGAACGAGGGTGGCTCATTAGCATATTATTTGTAAAAAGCATTTTTTAAGAATAATTTGATACCACACACTTGGTATTTGAAGTTAAATTGTCATTATGAACCGCATGTTATAATTTCAAATAAACCATATGCGAAAATGTCAAAAGTTGACATATGATATGTCATTCTATTCAGAGTGTCATTTTCTATCGAATAAAGTAAAAAAATATCGATGGTACCATTTAAAAATCAAAAGTTGTAGTTATTTCCGGTGAAAACGGAAGTGACCGAAAACAATTGAATATGTCAATCAATCCTAATTTATGTTATATACTAACATACCAAATCAGTTTTTTTATCTGAAAAAATAAAACAGTTATAGGGGGTGAGCCATTTTCGAGACGCACCCGGTATTCTAAGAATATATTTTAAATAGTTTTAATTTTTAATATTTTCCTAGAGAGAAAATGATTATTTCTCATTTCCCGAATGAGGCAAATAACAGTAATTTCTCATTTTAGTAGCAAAACGAAGAAAACCAATATATTGTCAGAGAGTGATGAAAGGGAAGTCTATCTATCTATATATTGGTACCACACCAGAACTAAAAGAAGCAGAAAGAAGAGAAATGACAAAATACGAGTAATGAAAATGAGTGGGGAAAATGAGTGAGGAAAATAAGTGAGGAATACGAGTGAAAGAAATGAGTGAAGGAAATGAAAAAGGAAAGTAAAGGTAGATAATGTGCCATTTCCAAAATTTTAAGTTTAGTAATGTTTAACTGTTAACATTACATATATTCTCACCGGCACGTAAAACGGCACCTTAAAATTTTGATGTGTTTTAAAGTGTTATGTATTTTGTGCTAGTGGTCTGATTTTGATAATCATTTAAGCAATTTGTAGCTAAATTATTTGATTTTTAAGTATCTCTATCCAAATTAAAAAAAAATTATACGAGGGAACATAAAATGTTGTTATTTTGGTGAAAGTTTGGAACACCCTGTGAAATATGTTAAAAAATGAGGGAATTAGAAAACTATTTTATCGGTATATAGGACTGTTCACTATGACCAGAAGGAAAAAATACGAAAAAAATGTTAATGTCTTCATCAAAAACGAATATCTCCAACAAAAATAAAGCTATTGAGACGAACCAAAAAGCAAACTATCAACAAAGAATGTACCTAGATGAAAAAATTATTTTTAAATTCCATGCTGTCTTAACAAATTCCACAGGGTATTTCAAACATATGGCTTATCAATTTATCAAGATCGGTCGAAAAAGTATATCAAACTTTAAAATACATCAAAATTTTAAGGTGCCCGTTTTTCGTGCCGGTGAGTCTATGTGGTTGTAAAAAAATTCCATATAGTTCATATACATTCTTCAAAAAAAATCCCAATATAAAAAATAATTATTAAAAGTTCCAAAGTGTGATAGATATCATCGGTTGCGAAATAATTAAATAAATAAAGGAAAAAAATACATATTTCCATACGTACACGTATTCGCTACTTGGAAAACAATACATTCGTTCCAATATTGACTTAGCAACACGAAATAAAAACTCAAGCACTCGAAATACGCGAAAAGGAAAAAATAACTGACGTCACGCGCCAGGCAGCCATCTTGGTCGACGCCCTGCTCCTTTTTTTTCGATCATCACATGCAGAACTTAATAAATATATCATTCAATCAAAAATCGGCCGTCGACATGGGGGATGCACAGGATAGTTTGGTAAGCGTAACATTTTCTTTTTCTTTATTCTTGGTCACTTTTGGATAAACTTGCGTTTTTTTTTTGATAATACACGGTCCCGAAAAATCGCCTAGTCCGTCAATATTTCAGAATGGTACTGATAAATGTTTTTGATATGGTGATATAGTTCAGAAAGAAGCGATTAGGAATATCTTTTCGAAAAATATGTGATTATTATAGATATGAGGCAAAGATGAGATATAGTTGAAAGCCAATCCTATATACCAAAGCGATTACAGGCATATGTGTATAATTTTACTTACTATAACGTGCAGCTGTGTTGATTCTAGATAGAGCAAGGGAAAAAATACATGTTATATGCATCATTGTGACTACAGAACACATAGTTAAACTTTTCAATACATCCAACTTCACTATAAAACATAATAACCACGAAAAAAAGAACTTTGTGAACCAATTCATTCAACTTTCAGGATTCTTCTCCATCGTAATTAGCACTGACTTTAAGCAGTTTTTGAGGAACACTATTAGAAAATAACTTTATCCTTTCACTGAGAACTGATATTACTGATTAAGAATATTTCGTGAGGGAATAAGTTACAATGTTGTCTCTTTGATAAAGTTTATTGTATTAAGATACTATATCTTATATCAATTTTAATAAACAACATGAACAACCTGCTTTAGATTGCGGGCATAATATTAACAGGAATTATGTTAGAAGTTATGTAAAGATTAACCTGATCTATCAATTTATTCGTTAAAAACCAAAAAAAATATGAAAACCGTCAAAATTTCGCCGATGCGTCCATTTTGTTTATGTTGCGTGAGCATGCGCGTTTTGTTTTTCTTTAAAGCTTTACCTTTTAAATCAATTAGCGAAATCTTGAGCATTTCCAATTCACCAGTTGTAAGAGTTGGGTGAGATATCTGTATCTATGTCATCAAGTTTCATAGTTCAAAAGGTAGAGTGGACATATTTTAATATTTTGCACCATTGATTACTAGATATGTATCGTTTATTGGTACATTCGTAGCATCTAATGCTATAATTTTGTTTTGTTGTTAACTATTACCTAAGCTAAATTAGTGGAATGAATTGGTGGTTTCAATTAGCGTATAAGTTTGTTCCTCTAATTTCAATATAAGTCAGAACGTCAAAATTAGTGGTAGTCATTTTCAATTAGTAGAAAAAGTTAACAAGAAGCTTTTAACTTTTTGAACTAATTATACTTTAAAATTTACGAAAAATGTCGTGTTGGCTTTTGATTTTGTGATTGTTTTATTAGGTTTTCTCTATATGGGATACAACCGCAAGCTGTTAGGATATTCTATTAATTTTAATTGTTTTAGACTTTGTGAAATATTCTATAGTTTTAAGTATAAAGTAAAATTAAAACCATTAATTTATTAATTAATAAATTAATGGTTTTAATTATGCTAACCTAATTTCGTGGTTCTGAATGAAGATTTTGTTATAAAATTGTTAAATTTTCTTATAATTTTAAAATAATACAATATTTGTAAATATTCAGTCAATTAATAGTATCTCTCTGAAGCTTGATAACCAACAATTGGAACTTAGTAATATTAATATTTTTTCCGGCTTGTTTATTTAATTTTATGGAAAATTTAATAATTTATATTATGCATTTAATCACAGATGAAAAATTATAGGATATTTCTATTTTTTTTCTTCTTAACCTTACCATATTTACTACTGGTATATATTATCCTTTTTTGTTCCGATACTAATTAGTAATAAATAATACAAAAATTAGATAAAATATCTTTGTTACTTTGACTATCATTCTGCGAAGATTAACTTTTGATTATACAAAGATTAAATCTGTGAAATACAGCTTAAACCATGATTTTAATAATAAACAAAAATAGTACTTATAGAAAATACCGTTATTTGAAGAAAACAGGAAAGTATTCTTGTAAAAATTCATTAAATATGATTTACAGTAGCTTCAGTCAGAACTTATTAATGGAATAAATTAGTGCTTTTAATTACTAGAAGTTTGTTCCTCTAATTTCAATGTAAGCATTCAAAACCTCAAAATTAGTGGTAATAATTTTCAGTTAGTCGAAAGAGTTAAACACTTTTAAGCTTCATTCAGAATCTCGATATTAGAGGAAAAATTGGTGGTTTCAATTAGTGTAAAAGTTTGTTCCTCTAATTTCAATGTAAAGCATTCAGAATGAGAAAATTAGTGGTATTATACTTCGAAATTTGAATAATGTCATTTTGGAATTTGATTATCATAGTCAAGAGAAATAGTGGCTAGAAAAAAATGTTTAATGTTTTACAAGCTAATTATTCGGCTTTCTCTATGGATACCAGTTACTAACATAAGCTGTTGCCAAGATGTTCTATTAATTTTGATTATATTTTTTAGACATTGTGAATGACCGTAAAGTCTAGTATAAAGTATTAATTGAGTCCACTAATTTCGAGGTTGTGAATGAAGCTTAGGTAATAGAAATATTTTTATATGTATGTCCTTATTTAAAACGGTCCTGCCATATTTAAAACTAATTTTCCTAAATATATTTAACACTAATTTACCTTTATCATAACCACGAACTATTTTTTCTGGGAGGAACAATATATCGAAAACTATATTCTTAAATATAACACATTTTTATAAACTCTCACAACAACGAAGTCTACCTTAACACTGATAGAAAAGTTAAATAAGTCTTGTAGGGTAGGTAGAGAGATTGTGATGTTTTAATTTTGATAATTTTTATTGTAGTAAGATACCAGATGATAATGTCAAGCCAACAGCTGTTTAGATTATAATAAAAAACTTAAATATCTGAAAGGCATCGTTGATTTTCTCAATAAATTCGGAGAGAAGAATAATAAAATGAAAAAATGGCGTAAAGAATCGGTAATTCATTATTCATTTATGTCATATTTGTTCAAAAGGTGCGCAATCTCCACTTTACGTGGATGCGTGTTTTTTGGGTACGGTATGCTTACATCAGTACATATCGCTATAAACGGTTGTACTGTGCTGTTCCGCTGTAAGATTATATCTCACGCCGATTTTACCTGTAATTCTGATACATCTTCAATTAAAAAGGTATGTAGCTTTTTATTTACATTATTTTTTTTTATAAATTTCCCTCAAAGTCTTGTAGGGTATGTGTTCTTTAAAATATAATTTACCATAAATATATAAGTTTACGGAAATTATAAAATAAAATATGTGATTTATAAGTAAAATTGTACTCATTAATTAGTTACTAGTAAAAATATTGCCTAACCAAAAAATAAGCTTAACATTTATAGAGTAAAAAAATAAAGAAAAAAGATCTAAATCTAATTATAACGGGAACCAAAAACTTTTAAAAAGTAATTTATATGTTTTTTTTAGTATACTGAAACAACAGTTGAATCTGGTTGATCATCTATTTATGTATCATTATTAATAATTATTAATTAAATAAAATTAAATATTTAATAATAACAACAATAAATTTTTAGTTTGGCAATAATAACTATTTTTATAATTGCTTTATTATTACAGTTAGGGACTGGAACCTTTAGTGTACAGCAAATAAAACACTAATTCACCACAATACACCAAAACACTTTACTTTTGTACTGAACGCGCGTTTCGCTAACCATGTTAGCATTATCAGCAGATACAATAATACTATTCTTAAGCTTTTTAAACTTTTAACAGGTTTTAATCATCTGCTGAGTGCAAAAGTAAAGTGTTTTGGTGTATTGGAGCAAATTAGTGTTTATTTTGTTGTTTTTGCATTTTGATATTTGCTTTACTTTAATTTTCACCTATATCAACTTGGTTGGAGAATCGTAGTTAGTGGCGGATCTACGGGGGGGTCTTTGGGGTCCCCCCCCCCCTTAAGTTCAGTCAACAAACAAGCTGTTTGTAATTTTAATACATTATAAATATTATACATTTAAGAAATCTTATAAAAATCTATATTAAGAAAAACTTTTGTTATTATCATAATTTAAAAGTTTATGATACATTTTTTACTACTAGTTTATTTTTCCAGCAAAAATCAATAATTAAAAATATACCGGGAGTGTATCAAAAATCGTTCACGCCTATAACCTTTTTATTTTTTCAGATAAAAGAACGAAATTTGGTATGTTATGTACCTATATGATATAAATTAGAACTGATTGACGTATTCAATTATTTTCGTTCACTTCCTGTTTCACAGGAAATTATTACAACTTTTGATTTTTAAATGACACACTCGGTATTTTTTTACTTAATTCGATAGAAAATGGCATTCTGAATAGAATGACAAAAAATTATATATACATATGTCAACTTTTGACATTTAAATTAAAAAACAATAGCATTTTAAATTTCGATTTAGAATGCCTTGGTCATAACTGTAACAATAATTTGACTAGAAATACCAAGTGTGTGGTATCAAATTATTCGTAAAAAACTGCTTTTTCCAAATATGCTAATGAGCCACCCTCGTTCCATTTGAAAAGGTTAAGTTATGATTAAAAATACGATTTGGACAAGAAGACACAAGAAACATTAAACGATCTAATCTATTTTTGCAAGGCTCCTTGATTAAAAATTAGTGTTTTTAACACAGCCTTGGCACTCTAGCTTGAAATTTAAAATACGACTTTTTTAAGCGAGAATATCAAAAGTTGATTATGATATATCATTCTACTCTAGAGTATCATTTTCTACTGAATAAAGTAAAAGATACCGAGGGTACCATTTAAAAATCAAAAGTTGCAATCATTTCCGGTGAAACAGGAAGTGACCGAAAACAATAGAATATCAACATATGTATATCATACTTTTTAGAAGCTTTATATAATAAAAATAATAAATAGTAACAAAATGTAAGAAATATTATCCCACTTTATTTAATGATAAGGAATCAGTTACTGTATTTAAATAAATATCTACCTGAAATTTAAATTTATCAATTGAATTTGAAATTATATACGACAAACGTGTTCTTTTTATAGAAAAAAAGTTTATTTAGCGTATACTAACAGGTGTCATAATCTTGATTGATTACTCTATTCTAAAACAACAAAGAGTCGGGAATAAAAAACATGACATCAGCAATGCAAAAATTTGGATTGACACCATATTTACTTAAAAATTAGGTCACCTCATTAGGGACGAGCCCTCTTATGACGTTTGATGTTTTAAAGTAATGTCGATTTTATATTTATTAGTTTACTTGTTGCTTTACGTCATTAACCAAACAAGTGAACAATCTGAAATGACAATAATTGGAAAAAAATACCATAAATATTAAGGCATGTTTTATTGGTACAATTTTCTTTATGTTTTTTAACTTATATGGTTCTCCTTAATTTTAATCAGTATACAGGGTGTTGCCATATTATCAAAAAATTATGTTTCTTAACTAAAAACTAAAAACATTTTCAATTTTTTTTTTAAAAATTCCACATTTTCAAACATCTTTTTTTGAGAAAAAAACCCTTATGGACGTGTTTCTGGGGTCGAAATATACTACCACTAAAAACATTTGCACTTATTTAAGACTCACCCTGTATAAGTATGATGGAATTCACTAATTTATTCTACAAATTTCGAGGTTCTGAATTAAGAATTCTTTAAAAAATTTAAGTCTCTAAAAATTAACGAAGATCCAACGATCGACGATTTTCAGCCACGTGCGGAAAAGGAAATAGGAAATATTGTTCAAATATCCATCTCCGCGCCATACCTACACCTTCCTACGGTCGTACAGTACCTTGGGTTCGCACCTTTCATCGAAAAAACGCGTACAATTACCCAGAACAAATATTTGACGCGGAGTCTGTCCAGAATTTAGCTCACCGCTTGTTTGGTTCGCTGTAAAAAGTTTGTCAACTTGTCAAATATTTAAATAAGCTCCAACGACCGAGGAACGGTACCTTGTAATCCGATGGAAATTGTATTTACCGAGAAAAAAAAAGCGCGGCATTTTGTAGTGCTTCAATTTTAATAAGTAAGGGTGCAGTGCAGCATGTCAACTAACACACGTGAAACGCGATGGGGACCTAAAATGGCCGACTTAAAATCCGGTTTATCGACGACGTTCTAAATTTATTTAAAACGTGTAAAAATACAGGGTGGTCCGAACTGTATTCCGGAAACTTCGGCAGTATATTCTGCAGATAAAAATAAGTAAAAAAGTTCGTATATATCTATGTCCTAAAATGCTTAGTTTCAGAGATACAGGGTGTAGAAGTTCCATTTTTATTTCGTTTTTTTCTAAATAATTTCTGAAATAACGTCAATATTTCGATGAAAATTGGTGTCTAGAAGTTTTTTGACATGAGAAATTTGATTTCGATGTAAATATGACTCCTACTAGTAGAGGGCGCCACCTACGTGTGTTTTAACTGTTTTGAAGCGTAATAACTGTATAAAACTACCGAGCGAAAAAATATCTCTGTGATTTTTTACGTAAAAAATATCTCTTTATAAAAATCGCTAAGAGCAACCATTCTTAAGATATTTAGAATGGAAATAGTAGATACATGTCATTATTGACGAAAAACACGTTGGGTAGATAGTTATTTCACTGAAATAACAAATTTGAGAAATTTTTATTTTTTTAAATTAAGCATAAATTTTTTTGAAAAAAATGATAATAAAACAGTTTCTGTTGAACATTTGGCACAAAAACATTTCAAATTTATGATTTGAGTCTAATAACTATTTAGTCAAAATGTTTAATTTATGTCAATGATGACAGGTATTGATAATTTCTATTCCAAATATCTCGAAAACCATTACTTGTAGCGGTTTTTACCAAGAGACCTTTTTCACGTAAAAAACGTCGTAAATGTATATTTTTTTAGTCAGTAGTTTTATACAGGTACAGACGAAAAGTTATTACTCTTCAAACCAGTTAAAAAATATGTAGGTGGCGCCCTCTACTAGTAGGAGTCATATTGACATCAAAATCAAATTTCTCATGACAAAAACTTCCAGACACCAATTTTCATCCAAATATTGACGTTACTTTATTGTAAAAATTATTTGGAAAAAATCGAAATAAAAATGAAACTTCTACACCCTGTATCTCCGAAACTAAGCATTTTAGGATATACATTTATACAAACTTTTTATACATTTTTATCTATAGAATATGCTGCCGAAGTTTCCGGAATACAGTTCGGACCACCCTGTATAGTGTATATATAGGGTACCCTCAATAATCTGCTGGTTTTGTTTTACTTTGTCAATTGTTACTTTGTCAACTGATATTAGTTTATAAAATTGTAAAAAATATATCTCTATCAAAAATAGATCAATTATAATAATTATTTAATTACAAAAATATCAGATACGCCACTGTAAATAAAGCAAAAATGCAAGAAGAAAAATAAAAACAATTAATTCTAAGTGAATCTCATAACTTGATTTGGTTTACTACACGTAATGTAAAGCTTGTTCAACCATCGTTCACCGTTACGTCATCATTATTTGTCAAATTTGAGTTTTAGGGTGTGTCTGAGATCAGTTCATATTGTTTAAAAAAATTAAATACGTTCCTTTGTCACTCTTTGAGCGAGTTTCGTTTTTTTGCGGCATTTATTATTTTTTTCTTGATCTATTTATTAGTTACGATCACTTTAATTCCAATTCTTTGGACTGTTGAAATTCCACATTTTTATTCTTCCATTTTTACATAGGAATATTACACACTTTGCATTGCACTTTCTATGAAGAAGCACAGTATATGAATACGACGTCCACGCAAGAGTGTTCTATGAGCGTGTCTTTCTGAAGAAAAATTATATTGAAACTGAAAATAGTGATCCATGTTCGTCAATAAAATTATAACCACAAATCAAATGACAATGACAATTACTAAATGGAAATGCAGTAATTTACGAAATACCGTAATGACGTCACCGATCACTTTCATCTGGCTGGCAAGTGATTGAGAGAGTTCAACAATATATGACGTGACGTTGGACGATGGCTGAACATTCTATATATTGTTGCGTTTTTCGTCGGTTCCGTGTGGATAGAAAGTCACAATTTATTTAAACAAAATTTATTTACACTAAGTAACAAACAATAACGATTAAAAGACTTAAAGAACTATACCGTGTTGGCAACTGTTACTTTTGGGTCGGCATTTACATGTTTGGAAGTAAATCGCATCGGGATCTTATTAAGTCGGAGTGAGAGAAATGCGACCGACCGACGCGACGCGCGACGGTGTGCTGTTGCGGCGTTGCCGATACGCCTTTCCCTATCCAGTAAAGTAAAATCATGATCGCAAACCGCTTATTTTTAAAAGATATAATAGCGCGACCACTATCGAACACCCACTCAATTCCACTTATTTAACACTTTTAACACTTGAACTTAAAAAAATTCAAGCTATAGGGAAAATTACAACGACTCGTTAATAAATAAACAAATTAAGTATCAGGAGACGTAATTAAATCGTGAAGCTGAACGCATGACGCACACTTTTCCCTAGAACTTTAAGTACTGACAGAGGTATTGATTGGGTCGACCGGCCAACTTCGACAAATCTGCTATATCCCCTTCTGCATCTCTTAGCGATGTGCACAGTTTCTCGGTTTATTTCATACGTTTGGCAACGTGTTTACTGTCCTCTCTTTGTTCAGTACATTATAAACGCATTGTACTCTTCTTACATACGGAAATCTCGACTCAAGACTAACCTTTGCCAGCCCTTAGTATACAAACTATTTATTTATAACTATTTATCTAGAAAGAATTTATTTTGAATTTAGCGCGGCAACTGTACTCGTCTATTTATTTTCTGTCCTCTTCAAGCTCCAGCCGTCGGCTTATATACCCACAGCTAAAGAGTTCTCGAATAATCCATAGATCATTAGGTGCATAGAGAAGGTTTCGAATGTTCTCGTATGTACTACTCCATTCCAGTGGAACTCGATTGTTCTCGAACGTTCGAATGAATCATTACGGTGTTTATTCTTTAAGGCAATATTTAAGGTCATATGGGGGCGGGGCATAGTAGTTAGTTAGGTTATGCCGAGTCCACACAGGTCGGCAACAATATTATAACGGGTGGTTCATCGGCGTTGAAAACAGGAAGTACAATGCTAATTTTAAACTGTCTAAATATTGGCTCCCGATTTTACAGCGAAATCCTTAATAGGTTCATTACAGGTCTGCGTATGCCGAGGCGTATGCTGAATACACATAACAAATTTGAACAATTTTGGACAAGCCGTTTTTAACTAATTTTATAAAAACTGTATTTATTTTTAAATTAAAACTGAACAGATGTTGTAAAACCAGACAAATATCAATATACCTTAAGTTGTTAAACTATGATTGAATGCAATTTGTTTTACTGTCAGATTTTAAACTTTTTTTTTTGACACCAGGAACACGTCTATTAGGTTTTTTTGCGAAAAGACTGAAAATCGTGCATTTTCTTTTAGATTTTCCTGTATATTTTAGAAAACTTTTTGGAACTACCTGTTTACCGACAATCGCCAATTTCCCCAAGGTATAATTTTTTAATCTCCTGATATTACCATTGCACTGAAATTTTTTAAAAAGTAATTATATCCTTCAATAATTCTTCATTCAGTTTTTTTTTAATTTTGAAATTTGAATGATTCAGTTATTTTCGAGGTTATTTTGGACTTATTTGAAAAACGGTAAAGAGAAAATCTGTTTCTTTTATCGAGAGCTATCAGTCCTGAAAATATTTTTACTTATTTAAGACTCACCCTGTATATATATATTTTTTAAATTGCTTTGTTTGTTACAGGACATGGAGCCTAAAAAGGAACCGGACCAATCACCAAAAAACAACCAACCCAGCGAGGCTGAATTACAATCCCCAGACCAAATAAAATCGGAGGAAGGCATAGAGCAGCAAACCCAAATCTTCATCAGCCAACCAAATCAACCCGACCAACTGCTACAAGCACGCGAAATGCCCCCTTCAGTTATCAGAAGAAACATCATCACACCCGCTGGCATAATCGTGGCTACTGACCAACAAGTCGAAGTACAATCCGAAGAAGTTGTTGATGAAACCTCTGGCACATCTCAAGAAATGAGTCCGGAAAATGAAAAGAGCAGTACCACAGTCTCGTATGCTACCATAGTTCAGGAAACGACAGGTACGAATGACAGTTTCGGAGAAGAAAAACAGTTCATAGTTACAACGGAAGCGTCTTCCGATACATTCCAAGCACAGGCAAATTCTTTTCCTCCTGATCAGCTGGTTAATTTTACAATAACTCAGGACGGAGAACATGAAATACCGATAGAGAACGCTTCGATTGAAGCTCAAGGAAACTACACGAATTTAGAGACTGCCCAGTTTCAAGGTAATGGACAGTATCCTACGGATGGGTCACACTACTTACAGCAACATCATCAGTATGGGGGAATTCCGTTTTCTGTTGAAAAGAGTAACGGAGGAAGCCCACCAGCCAACAATTTGCTTTATAGAAACAACGATCCGACGTTAGCATCATCTAGATATGCGGTAAGTTGAGTAAATAGACCTGTATTGTGTAAATAGTCCTGAACAGTAAGACTAGTAGTACTACACTAGTAAGATATCAAATACTTAAATATTACTTAAGAGGTCCTCATCTACCAAAAACACTGCGACTTGTAAGGCCTATAATGTTTGTCCCATTTATCTGTTTGCTCTCAGGCTTCTATTCCTGTCCCCTGCACCAGCTTTTGCAGTCCTTGATAAGATGAGAGCATAGCCCTCTTTCTGGTTCTAGCCTTGACTTCCTCAATATAAAATGTCGCTTGCGATCCAGGGCCTCGCAGTGACATATTATGTGCTTTGATGGTTTAGAATCTTTATTGCGGAGTCTGCAGCAAAGACTTCCATAATACAAATTGTGCTTGTTCAGGTAGCACTTGAGAGCCATATGCCCTGTTAAGAAACCTGTTGTAATCTGCACCTTATTTGCTGAGCAATAGCAAATAAAGTCGAAGACGCCACTTACATATTTTTAACTGGTTTGAAGACCCGCCCGTAATCTATATAAAACTATTGGGTGAAAAAAATACAGGGTGTTTCAAAAAACATGTGCCATCTCTCGTGGGGAGATTCCTCACGTAAAAATAACATTTATTTTTCATATCAACATAGGCCCTCTGGTTTTCTGCTTTGTTCCGTAGCTACAGGGTGTTAAAATCTTAATATTTTTTCGATTTATTATAATTTTCTTTCAAGTACTTTTAACGTTTCTAATAAAATTTTGAGGTTAAAAGATACTATAAATGCGACATATTTTAAAGCCAAAAAATGTCGACATATATTCACCAGGTACGTGTATATGGGTTATTACTGGAATATTTTTCTAAAAATAAGCATGTACGCCACTGACTTTTTTTCTTTTGTTAGCAAAATAGTGTTACCAATTTAATGCTGATTAAAAATTGTCTCTTGATATTTTGTCGATTTCGGCCTCCTTGATGAGATAAGAGAATAACGCCCGAGGGATACAGAATAACGCCCCAGGGGCGCTATTCTGTACACGGCATTGATAATCGTCGGTATCGGTAAGTTACGACAGCTCTCGATACGTATTTGTATATATTAAAAATGTGTTAATTGTTGTTGTCATAGTTACCTATCGGTCCTATGGCAGATATCGCAAATTTGTACCGACGAAAATCGGTATCTCTACCGTGCCCTTGTCAACCTCACTGTAGAGATACCGAGAGTCGTCGGTACAAATTTGTAATATCTGTCATAGGGCCGATCGGTAACTATGACAACAACAATCAACACGACGCTCATTAGCCGTACGTACCGATAGCTGTCGGTAACTTGCCGATTCCGACGATTGTACAGAATAGCGCCCCAGCGACTGCCAAGAAAATGTACATGTAATTCCAGTAGTGAGACACCCCTCGAGCTCACCCCCTATAACTTTTTTATTTTTTCAGATAAGACAATGAAATTTGGTATGTTAGTAAATGATACAAATTAGGATTGATAACATATTCAATTGTTTTTGGTCGCTTCCGGTTTCACCGGAAATGACTACAAGTTTTGATTTTTAAATGGCACCCTCGGTGTTTTTTTACTTTATTCGATAGAAAATGACACTCTGAATAGAATGCTATTCAGTTCGTTGACATATCATATGTCAACCAACTTTTGACATTTTCGCATATGGTTTATTTGAAATTGTAACCTGCGGTTCATAACGACAATTTGACTCGAAATACCAAGTGTGTGGTATCAAATTATTCGTAAAAAAATGCTTTTTCCAAATATGCTAATGAGCCACCAGAAAAATAATATCGATAAAACAGTATCAGTTGAATCTTTGGCCTAAAAACATTTCAAATTTATTATTTCAGATTAATAACTATACAGTTATAACATTTATTGACTATTTCGGTTACAAATACCTTGAGAACTTTGCAGAGAAATTATATGAATAGTAATTGGTAATTTGGTAAGCAAAAAAAATTACTTATTTTTATCTGCAGAATATGCTGCCGAAGTTTCCCGAATAAATTTTGGACCATCCTGTATAGTAATTTGTGTCACAAGATTGTCAAAAACTCTCCCTTTACTTTACTGTTAGGCGGTGCAAAGTTAGCTCCGTCAGCTAGCGAATGAATATAAAAATTAATAGAGTTTTTGATTTCTTTCTTGTTTTTACCTTTCGTTTATTATTCCAGGAGATCCGTACCACTCCCAACTTCGAGCAACGAATGAACCAAATCACCACGTTCACCTCACCATCGTCCGGTCAAAGCTACCAAATCACAGCCCCGTCGACCGAATCGTGGCAAACGGCCACCACCCAGTACAACCAAGGCTACCAGAGCCCGGTAGCCGCGGGAGTAAACCTAGTACCGCAAGCAGACAGCACGGGCGGCCCATCCCAGCAGTACTACATCACCACCCAGTGGCCTGCCCCGGGAAACAATATGGAAGATGGTGGTGCTAGCGTGGGCACTTCTGGCGGCCAACACCAGCAGCGATCTGGCACAGAGGTACTTGTCAAAGAATGCGTCAATTGCGGTGCTAGCGTCACGCCTCTGTGGCGTCGCGATGGTACCGGCCATTACCTGTGCAACGCGTGCGGCCTCTATAACAAAATTAATGGTGTGAATAGACCGCCGATTAGGCCGACCAAAAAGCCACAGGCGGTAAGTTTATGTGTATCATTGGGTTTGATGTTCGTTAGTTAACGTTTCTCTCCAGATTCTAGTTTTAATAATATTTGTCGAAACGAAATTTAAAAAATAAAACGGTTACTCAAATATACGTAAATTGTACCAGATCATACTAAAATCATCTTTACACACAGCTACCATCTTATTTATATAAAAGTAAAAAATTAGCACTGAAAAAATATAATACAGGGTGGTCCGAATTGTATTCCGGAAACTTCGGCAACATATTCTGCAGATAAAAATAGGTAAAAAAGTTCGTATAAATGTATGTCCTAAAATGCTTAGTTTCGGAGATACAGGGTGTAGAAATTTCATTTTTATTTCGATTTTTTCCGAATAATTCTGAAGTAACGTCAATATTTAGATGAAAATTGGTGTCTGGGAGTTTTTTGACATGAGAAATTTGATTTTGATGTCAATATGACTCCTACTGGTAGAGGGCGCCACCTACATGTGTTTTAACTGTTTTGAAGCATAATAACTTTTTGTCCGTACCTGTATAAAACTACTGAGTGAAAAAATATACATTTCCGTGACTTTTTACGTAAAAAATGTCTCTTGGTAAAAATCGCTACGAGCAACCGTTCTCAAGATATTTAGAATGGAAATGGTCAATACATATACACTGAAATAATAAATTTGGAAAATTTTAATTTTTTTAAATCAATTATATTTTTTCTGCAAAAAAATGATGATTGAACAGTTTTTGTTGAACTTTTGGTACAACAACATTTAAAATTTATGATCTCAGTCTAATAACTATTTAGTCAACATGTTTAATTTATGTCAGTGATGACAGGTATTGATAATTTCGATTCCAAATATCTCGAAAACCATTACTCGTAGCGATTTTTACCAAGAAACCTTTTTTACGTAAAAAGCGTCGCAAATGTACATTTTTTACTCAGTAGTTTTATACAGGCACGGACAAAAAGTTATTACTCTTCAAACCAGTTAAAAAATATGTAGGTGGGGCCCTCTACAAGTAGGAGTCAAAACAAATTACTCATGTCAAAAAACTCCTAAACACCAATTTTCAATCGAATATTGACGTTACTTCAGAAATTATTTGGAAAAAATCTAAATAAAAATGAAAATTCTACACCCTGTATCTCCGAAACTAAGCATTTTAGGACATACATTTATACGAACTTTTTTACTTATTTTTAACTGCAGGATATGCTGCCGAAGTTTCCGGAATACAGTTCGGACCACCCTGTATATAGAGGATGCTACAAATTCGAGGTACGATCATTGGTATCTCGGTAACCGTAATAGATACGAACATAGTTAAATTGGCGAAAACTTGCGCTTTGGGATGTTTACCAAGATGCCATCAAAAAAGTTTTAGAAAATGTCCAGGATTGCTGAGTTTTTTCGAAAAATGTTTTTTTTTGAAAATCAATTTTATTTTTTCCTGCCGGTACTTTTTAGAAAATCAAAAAACTATTTGCACATTCTCATAACCACTTTATTAGGGCTATCTGATAGTATTTTTAGATTTTCAAATTAGCTGATAATTTGTCAGATACAGATGCCAACTTAATTTTTTTAAATACGGACCAGAATATTTTATTTCAGGTTTTGAAAGAACTCGGTCTCATGAGATTAAAAAAAAATTATGTGTAATTTTTTTGACATTTGAACACAATTTATTTAAACTAATTTTAAGTCCGGCTCTGTTTTTTTTTTAAATACTTAATTAATCTATTCTTCGTTAATGACGTGGAGTAAAGCATTGAATACGGAAAATCAAATACAATAAAAATAAATAATATAAATATAATATAAACAAACAAATCATTTCCCCGGAAGATGGATTGGAAATGGTAGAGCAATATAATGGCCAGCGAGGTTCCTGGACCTGTTGACAAGGGGAAGGCATTACTTGACTTCCTTTGTAAAAGTAAAATCATTACATCTCAACATTTACAATAAAGTACAAAAAGCATTCGGAAGAATAAAAGAAAGTTGAAAGAGCTATAAATAAAATTGAACGAAAAATAAATTTGTGCAATATAGGGAAGGTGGTTCTTTAGAACATGTAGAGAATTAGAAACTAGTTTATAGAAGTTGATTTATTTATAATAACTACGATTAATATTATGCATATTGTTAGATTGCGCACAGAGATTTCAAATTCACAATAAAAAAAGTTAAAAATAATATCTCTAAATTGCTGACCTGGATATTATTTATATGAATTTTCCATTTGGCTTGATTTTCCTTGTTCAATGTTAATTAGCGCTGATCAATATTGTTGCGATGAATATAAACAGATTAAATAATTAAAAAAACGCACTTGAAATTATTTTAAATAAAAATTAAATAGTTTTGTTGTTGTTAAGGTACCCAAAACAAAAAAAGTATAAAGTGTGGCATACCATTGTACTCAGGAGACCGATTTCTTTCAAAGCCTGAAATAAAAATGCGTATGGTCTGTATTTAAAAAATTAAGTTAGCCTCTGTATCTCACAAATTGTCAGCTAATTTGAAAATCCAAAAACACTATCAGATAGTCCTAATAAAGTGGCTATCAGAACATGCAATTAGTTTTTTGATTTTCTAAAAACTAACGACAGGAAAAAATAAATTCATTTTCATAAAAAAAATTCCAAAGAACTCAGAATCCTTGAAATTCTTAAAACTTTTTTGATGACATCTTGGTGAACATCCTAAAGCCCAACTTTGCCCCAATTTAAACAATTTAACTATGTTTGTATCTACTACGGTTACCAAGATACCAATACTCGTACCTCGAATTTGTAGAACCCTGTATACAGGGTGGCGCACCTCATTCGCCTCGGTTGATTATACGAAAACGGAAAGATGTAGAAACAAAATATTTTATGGGTACATGTGGGAAGGCAATGTGCATAATTTAAAATTATTTTGAAATGTACAGGGTGTTTCAGAACTAAGATCCATACCAAAGTTATGTTTTTTCTTATGGAACACCCGGTATTTTATTTCATTTTTGGATTCTTGGGCATAAAATAGGGCATTTATTATAAGGGTTTAATATGTTTAAATGCTTTGGTTTTTGAGATATTTAAAGATATTTAAATATTCATGCTATAATAAAAAAGTTTGTAAACACCCTGTACACTAATTTTCAGATTTACTTCTAGTGCCTGACTTTGAAGCCAAGGAAATAAACTTTACTAAAAAAAAATATTACTTCCTCCAATGTATACAGGGGTATCAAAAATTGCTGGTCTATTTTAATATTTATTTTACATAAAAACTTCGTTATCTCAAATACAATACCCTGTATTTTTTTAAATAAGTCGAAGCAGATTTAAATGCTCTTTCAAACTGTATTAGGGTTTCCTATACCTATGTGGCTCAGATTTTGAATAAAAAACGATTTTGCAATAAAATTGTAATCAAGATAGCTGGTGTCGCCATGGCAATTTTCTAGTGACACTCAGTAGCTATTTTCAAAATCGACATTAGTTTATGGACTTTATTTAAATTTATAACAGTTTATTTTCATTTAATTTATCTACAATAAGATTAATAAGTAAGTATTTATTATTTTATCAAGAAAAATGAAGCAGTATGCTGGCCGAAGGAATGGATGTATTACTAGTGATTTTATTTTGTGAGAACAATTGTTTGGGAGGGGGGAGGTTAGCCTGAAGGGTTTATGCTCAAACATATCTAAATAGGAATTTTCTTGACAAGCGTACCTTTGAAAAACAACTTTTCCTATTTCGCAGAGCTGATAGTGTGTTATACGAAAGACCTATTAGGCAGAAACCTGTCGTTGGTAGTGAAGAAAATGAATTTGCCTTAATTGGTTCTTTTATAGAAAATCCAATATTTCTACAAGTCATCGTAATATAAATCAAAAAGAACTACTTCTTTATTTTTCTTGATAAAGTAATGAATACTTATTAAACTATTGTAGAAAAATTAAATAAAAGTAAACTGTTATAAATTTAAATAAAGTCCATAAACTAATGTCGATTTTGAAAATAGCTAGTAAGTGTCACTAGAAAATTAACATCTCGACACCAGCCATCTTGATTTCAATTTTATTGAAAAATCGCTTTTTATTCAAAATCTGAGCCACATAGGTATAGGAAACCCTAATACAGTTTAAAAGAGCATTTAAATCTGCTTCGATTTATTTAAAAAAATACAGGGTGTTGTATTTGAGATAACGAAGTTTTTATGTAAAATAAATATTTAAAATAGAAAAATTGAAAAATCGCTTTTTATTCAAAATCTGAGCCACATAGGTATAGGAAACCCTAATACAGTTTAAAAGAGCGTTTAAATCTGCTTCGATTTATTTAAAAAAATACAGGGTGTTGTATTTGAGATAACGAAGTTTTTATGTAAAATAAATATTAAAATAGACCAGCAATTTTTGATACCCCTGTATACATTGGAGAAAGTAATAATTTTTTTTAGTAAAGTTTATTTCCTTGGCTTCAAAGTCAGGCACTAGAATTAACTCTGAAAAGTAGTGTACAGGGTGTTTACAAACTTTTTTATTATAGCATGAATATTTAAATATCTTTAAATATCTCAAAAACCATAGCATTTAAACATATTAAACCCTTATAATAAATGCCTTATTTTATGCCCATGAATCAAAAAATGAAATAAAATACCGGGTGTTCCATAAGAAAAAATATAACTTTGGTATAGATCTTAGTTCTGACACACCCTGTACATTTGAAAATAATTTTAAATTATTTTCAAATCAATTATAGTCTACATATACCCATAAAAAATTATGTTTGTACGTCTTTCCGTTTTCGTATAATCAACCGAGGCGAATGAGGTGCGCCACCCTGTATATGAAACCAAAAAAATATTAAATATAATTAATTAAAACTGCAGTTTTTATCATCTGCTGATGATACTAACGTGGTTAGCGAAACGCGCGTCCAGTGTAAAAGAAAAAGTGTTTTGGTGTATTGTGGTGATTTAGTGTTTTATTTTGCTGTTGTAACACCAAAAGTTCCAACCCCCAACTATAATCTAGAATATTTAACTGAAATATACTCATTACAGCAGTATACACGTCGGTTAAACATATTTGCACTATTTCTCACGTAGCCTAAAGATATATCAAACAAAGCTCTTTATTTATAGCATTGATATGAATAAGCGTACAAAAAAAAATCTAACGAGGCTACAGGACAGTTGTTACCAAAAAATCATCAGGACGGTATAACAAATAATTTGTTTTGAGGCCTAGTCCGTTAAAAAAATACTGAATTACTACAAAACTTATTTTCCGGACTGATATCAAGTGTGTAAAGGTGTTTTGCGATACACAGAATGAAACAAGAAATGTTTAACACACTTATGAAATGAAGGTTTCGAAAAAAAGTCATATTCGTATCATATAATAGTGCCCTACATCATCAAGTCTTGCGACAGTTTACCTCTGCGATATCACGCACATGCTTTATGTGTACATTGCTTTAAGTGGGTTGTTCTATTTGAACAGTCTGATAATTTTTTCCCGTCTTTGGTAAGCTGTTATGAAACGCGTTTTATTTTTCAAGTTAACTGTATTTCAAACATTTATATTTATTTTGGTATACTGACATATCAAATTATATCACATGAGCTGTTCGTTTCTAGAAATGAAAGCAAATATTGTTTTAATATTTTGTTCAATTACTTAATTCAACTAAAAGTTTTATTTTTTTTGAAACTTAAAAAATTATAAAAAACATGTTTTACTACTTAATGTTTGATAACACAAGATACAGGTGATCGGTTTTTATCTAAAGTAAATAATTTCTTTATTGTTTTTTTTTATATTTTCGAATTGTTTATCAATCGAAACTTCAATTTTTTTAGACATGATTCAGTTAATAGTAGGGAGTCCAACCGGGATTTTGAAATTTAGCATTTACCCAAGAGTGGTAGGATAAATAAGGGAAGAAATATTGTGCTCTCTGAAGTACTCCCACCATACGTGAATTTCTTAGAGCGTTGTGCCTGTAGGGTAGCCGATAGTATTAAAAAATGTCTAATGCATGTCTAAAAAAAATTATATGTGCGCATATTTGAAGTGAAACTTCTTCTTACTTTCGTGTATCTGTTCATCTGCCCGTCTGTCAGTCTGTCCGTCCGCCCTTTTGAGGTCTTCATTCGGGTACCTCTATTCACGTGTTGCGTTTAGTTCCAATCGACCCATAATAAAGAAAAATCCTAACGATTTCGTCCATTTAGAATTTAGAGTTCGAATCGTCAAAGACGTCATCCGGTAGCCCATCCCCATAGAGTAGCCGAAATCGACCCACATATTTTTCTTCAATATACCAAATCCTTAGGCCCACCCTGAAGAAGATGTAAACGAAACGTCGTATTCGACTTTGCAGGGTGGGACCATATGCACTGTCGCTCACATAGCCTATATCCACCAAATTTGGTCGCGATCGGACGACATCAACTTTTGACGTTTCTTAAGTCAAAACTAACTATCCAATCAAATCCAATCTATCGAAATACCAAATTTCATTTAAATCAAAAAGTTTTTCGATTTGATTCATTGATGATGTCGAACGAAACATCGTCAAAATATCATGAAAAGATGGGGCTCTTCGAGCCATATCATCACATTCCAAGATTCAGGGGTCGTATTTTCGAAACCATGCGGAGCTAAGTCGTGTACGAAATTTGGTAAACTTCGCATGAAAATCAGAAAACTGTATTTTCGAATAGTTTCGAGAGCTTCGTGCACGACTATTTTCGTATGCGGTGGTTCGAGTGGGTATACACCATTCGAATGTGAAACTTCGTATGCGATTATTGCGATTCTAACTAGTGATGAGAATAATCGAATTATTTTCACCATCGAATAATTAGTAATAATTCATATTTCACAATCGAATTAATAATTCGAATTATTTAGTAGAATTATAAATTTAACCTAAAAATAAATTCGTCCTAGCTAGTGCTCGTCTAGGGGCTATTTTAAACAAATCTGAACTATTCCATTGCCAAATTGCTATACCTATATTCTATCATTGAATAAAGAATAAAAAATATTCTTTATTCAATGTATTCTATTAACTGTGCCGAAGCCGTTTAATAAACTAACCTAACCAAAATTTATAGTTTTAAATTTAAAAGTGCCGAGTTTATGATTGTTATTGTTATGGCCTTTTATAAACATTTCAATTCCTATTGAAACCCTCCTCTCTAAAATAAAAGCTTCTTCTAAAACGATATAAGTATGTCCTTGTTTACGTGCGGTTCGTATTTCTTTTTATTTTATTAGTGGCAATCAATAATTATTTAGATAAAAGAAGAAAATTAATTTTAGTGTTTGGCAGGTGTTCGGTGAAATTTGGGTGAGATGGAAATGAACCAAATAATAGTAGTATTCTTTCGTTCTGAACGAAATGAAAATTTTCACTTAAAACTGATTTATTCCTACGTGGTATAGGAAATAACAATTATTTCTGGATTTTTCTATATCGGATCGTTCCTTTCTTTGTCGATTCCCTTTATAAATCAGTTTAAGTGAAAATTTTCAGTTGATTCAGAACGAAAGAATACTACTAATTTATTAATATTCGTCCATAAGAGGTTATGTTTATGTTCATTTGTAATTCGGTTACCACAGATATAATATAAAATACTACTAATTTTTATCTCAATTATATCGAAAAAGATAATCGAATTAATTAGTTTTAATTTACTATCGAATTAGTCGAATTATTTAATTCGAATTTTCCCAACACTAATTCTAACCTATTTTTCTGTTTTTGTTTATTGTGAATTGCGATTAATAAATTATTTATTTTCAACGATTTTGAAAAATGGCTGGACTAAATTTTCTTTTGAAAGAAATACTTTAAATCTTTGGAAGAAGCTGAAATCTTGGCGGATAGAGGGGATAGAATCTACCATCCATTTTTGAACCCCTTTGAGTTGTCTGATAATCAATTTGTTAAATTGTATAGATTAACAAAACCTATGGCCTATGAGTTAATAGGTCTTTTGGAACCTCACCTTACACATCCTTCTAAGATATCGGCATTAACCAAGAAAAGTAAGTACCTACAATAGGTAAATAATACACGCTGTAACGTTGTTAAGGCAATGCTACTCGAATGCTTTTTTTAGTTAAAATTATTTTAATTACTTTATATTTAAGTATATTATTTGCAGGTTTTAACCACATTAAGGTTTTTTGCAAGTGGGAGTTATCAGTGGGATATAGCAAGAAATATGAATCATGCAATTTATTTCTGTTTTTTGTTCTGCAGAAACAAACCCTTCTTCCTTATAATTTTCTTGATCCATTACAACATTCAATTTTGCACTCTTTTTTGTAAAATTATAATGGATGTATGGAATTATAGAAAAGAAATTATTTAAAAATCCATAACATAAACAACAAAACAAAACTAAGCAAATAATTTAAGGTTAGATTATGTTATATGTCACAAACTGTCGCAAATACGGTCTCTTCTTCTTTTTGGTCACCAAACATGTACGAATTTGCGGCGCCGCCGCTAGCAGTTTCATGCGTATGCGAATACATTTTCGAAGGGCGTTGAAAGATAGGTTTTTAAATTCGTACACGAATTTTTTCGCTCGAATTAGATCGCATACGAGAAAATTCGAGTACATTCGAAAATACGACCCCAGCCCCCTAGCTCACATCGGACCCGAGTTACGAGATTCCAAAGACCCATTAAATCGGACGATTTTTTCGCTATTGATGATGGGGTTTCATAGTGCACGAAACGTCGTCAAAATATCTTGAAAAGATGGGTTGAAAAGATGTGAATAGATGAAAAGATCTTCAGCCTCCTAGCTTACGTAGGGCCAGAGTTACGACGCTCCAAGATCGTTACCATTTTTGCGACGCTTGGCGACCTTGGTGTGACGATTCGCGTGTGTTGCGGCCTTGAATTTTTACTTCCAAAAAACTACCTTTTTTTAAAACTACCGTTTCACTTCAAAAAACTTGAGTATTGGTCGCGTTGAAATCATCAGTATTTTGAACAGCAGTCTCTTTATGGTTCACATAACATTCCTTTTGAATATCTGACGCGCTCAAATATTTTTTTTGAAACGCCGAAGGATTCCTTTGAGACATATTTTTAACCTTTTTTAAAACCTGTATACGCTCCCCTTCTTCATGAATGGAAATATTCTATCCGTTACAACAATATTAATTTGTCTTAAGAACATCACCAAATTATTTTTTAAGAACGTGAAGACCTTCTCGTTCAATGACGGTCAACATTTGTTCTTTGAGTGTTAGAAGCTAAATCTGGCGAATACGGAGGATGGTCCAGCAGTTCAAACTGTAACTTATGATTTATTTGCCGCGACAACTGTATAGTACTCATTAAAAAAGTTAGTTTATAAAACTTTGATTCTATATTTAAAATTTGTTATATATTTTATAACAATCAGTTGAAGGAAAAATTAAATAATTATGCTTTTTAGGTTTTTAGTTAAATTTTATTCTCTGATCTTTTCAGACTGGCAACAGAAGAACAGGAGTTTCATGTGCGAACTGTAAAACAGTGAACACGACACTTTGGAGAAGAAATAATCAAGGTGAACCCGTATGCAATGCTTGCGGACTATACTTCAAGTTACACAACGTAAGTACATCCATAAAATGAATAATATATCTTATTTTTCTTGGTCTGTTATATTGTGGATGATATTTTTAATATTGTAATTAGATTTTTGAAGTGGCTGTCGGTCTATTTCACTGCAACCTTTTCAGATCTATTGTGGTATGGATCTTCAGATCTCCAGATTGCGCTCTCTAGTCCTATTCATACCAAACCACTTGTCAATGGCCTATAATTGCCTAGTACTAAGAATCAAAGAACTTTCCTGACTCTGCTCCTGACTTTGCTCATCAGCAGGTTGCAGTCAATTTTGGCGAATGTTCTATTATAAACTGTTTCGCATGTCTCTACCCTATTGAATTTGTCCACCATTCTAGAGATTTGATAGCCGACCACTGTTTTGTGGCCATTTCATCTTTCATCAGCCTTTTTTACCTTTGTAACCTTCGTACTCCTGTACCCAGGCTACTCCTGTACCCAGGCTGTACCCAGACTAGTGTTTGCTACGTTCAACCAATGTAGTTAGAAACGAAGTCCCTTTAGCACTCTTCTACTGTCCCTGAAGATGACAAATGAACAGTGAGCTCTTTCCCGACTATTATTTCGTCTACACAAAAATAGATTGCTGTTATTTTTGCTTGAAAAATATGTGACATCCTTGTATAAGCGTATGGGGAAAGCTGTTATGTTGCGATAGTTCTATTTTGAAAATATCTACAAAACCAAAAGTATGTCTTGTACAAAATATACAAAAACCAATAAAGAATCTTCTTCTTCCTGTGCCTTGTGCTTAGCCGCACGTTGGCGATTGTCTGTACTCTTCATCCAATGTGTAGAGTGCCGTTTTCGGCTCTTCGAAATATGTTTCTTAGCCAGGAATGTTGTTTTCTTCCTGGGCCTCGCCGTCCCTCTATTTTTCCATGTAGAATCAGCTTAGGAATGTAATATTTGTCTCCTCTAAGGATATGGCCGAGGTATGAGACTTTCCTTTCTTTAACTATATTAAGCATTTCTCGTTCATAGCCGGCAGTTCTTAAAACTTCTTCGTTGGTGGCATGTGCGGTCCGTGGCACACGTAAGAGTCTCCGAAGAGCCCACATTTCGAAAGCCTCGATGCGGTTCAGGGTTCTAGCTTTGAGAGACCAGGTTTCTGCGCCGTATAGTAAGATAGGTCATATGTAGCATTTTACTACCCGTAGTCTAAGTGTTAGCGGGAGACTGCGTGCTAATAGGAAGTTTTTAAGTTTAAAAAATGTTGACATTGCATAATTCCTTCTAAGTTTAACTTCCTCATCGCAGTCCCATCGTTCATTCATCATGGCACCCAGATATTTAAATCGTGGAACTGCTCTATAATATTTCCATCCATGGTCAATGCGGTGTTGATTGTAGGCTGGCGTCCTATTACCATAAGTTTGGTCTTGGCAGCGTTGATTTTAAGACCGAAACGATTTCCCATGTCCCCTATCTTATTTATTATTTTCTGGAGATCCTCTAAAGATGGTGCTAGTATTGCCGTATCATCTGCATATCTTATATTGTTAATTGGAACTCCGTTAATCTTAATTCCTCCACTTTCTCCTTCCAGGGCCATTTGAAATATCTTTTCGACGTATATATTAAAAAGTATTGGTGACAGTATACAGCCCAGGCGGACTCCTTGACACACATTGAAGGTGTCTGTGGATAAATTTTTGTTAACTCTTATCTCCGCGGTTTGGTTCCAATATAGTTCCTGTATGATTCTAATGTCTTTGGCGTCTATTCCTATCTCGAGCAGCTGTTTAGGAGAATATCGTGTTTAACGTTGTCGAAAGCCTTCTGATAATCTATGAAGCACACAAAGACACCTTGGCGTTGATCATAACATTTCTGGATTAGTAGCTTGATTGAAAACAAAGCCTCTCTGATACCCAGCCCCTTGATGAAGCCGAACTGTGTCTCTCCGCTTTTTTCTTCACATTTCGAGTATATACGAGCATGCATGACTCGAAGAAAAAGTTTCAGAGCATGACTCATTAGACTTATAAGTCTGTAGTCACTACAGTCTTTTGGAGATGCCTTTTTGGGAATTGTTATAAAAGTTGATTTTAGCCAGACGTTTGGAATTTTACCCGTATCGTATATTCGATTGAATAGACGAACAAAGAATAACAGAAAATAAAACATTTCATATTTAAAATGGCATGGGATGGTGAAACTTTTTTATTTTGTTGAAACATCCAGATCTCAAACATCCAAGATTTGGCAACATTCACGAGCCATAGGCCGTTAAATAAACTTTAATAATACTGAAACAGAAATTGGAATACTTTGCATTAACTACGTGTTTTTCGTTGGTTCCAAATAATTTCCCCCATTAGGTATATTCTTGTTAGTAACGCTTTTTTATTACTGTGCAATAGAGAGATAAAAGGATTAAGCTGGTGTCAGTGTATTTGGAGATATATGTACTAGCGAAAAACCTTGTTAAATTTGAAAAGTGACTAATCTCCCCATTATTGACGCTGTACAACGAGCACGCTAAATCTTTTTATGACATCTTCTAATTTACAAAACGCTTACTATACACTATAGAATATTTATTATTTATGTGCCTGTAACTTTTGTTTGGACTTATTCGATTCTTCGTCTTTCCACTATTTGCACTTTTTATACTTATAAATCTTAAACAAATCCATTTTAAAATAGATGTTACGAAAAACCTTCACTGTCTTTTTTTATAGAAAAGTACATAAATTCAACGTAAAAACTATTATAAATCTAAGTCAGTGTGCATTAACATATATTTGTGTATTGCACTTTTTCGTTTTCTAAACAATAATATTGATCATCTTTTGTTTGATTATGATAAATTAATTTTATCGCAACGTTACATCATTGTCAATTCAAATATTTTTCTTAATGTTAATAATCCAGTCACTTTTATGTAATATTTTTACTAACGTACACAATACCCGGTTTTTCACACAATTTTTTGTTAAAAATCTTTTAGGATCTTGTATACAAATTGCTGATTTGATTAGACAAAAATGATTTAGTAGTTGTAGTTATAGCTGCGGCCAGATGAACGACCAGTTTCAACAGAGTTGTCAGATCTAACGATTTTTTACGTTTTACCAATTAGAAAATATTGTTTCAGAAAGAATTAGGTTTCAGAAATGTTAAAATATCCGAGTTAACTAAAAAGCGAAGTTCAAAAGCTATTCATGAGCTTATTAAATGTTCTAATATTAAATAATGCATTTAAAATATTCTTGGATTTTTCGTTAATAAATACTGATGTGGTAAATGGAGTAAGTAAAATCCCCAACCCCGTATTTCCATGTTTTTCAAATCCGCGATGCCTGCTATTCCATCAGTCGTTTCATAACAGAATATTCTACATCCTACGTCTATGTAATTTAATATGTGTAGAGTGAGACATGTAACTCGTGAGATTTTCAGCATTATATCAATAAAGGACAAAAACAGTATTGTTCCTAAAGGTGCGTCCAGACTTCGGCATTTTAGCCCGAACGAACCGAGCGTGCACGAACAAGCAGAACAAATAGGCCGAACAAAAAGCATTGTGTACATTGTGTATTATGTTTACAATATAAATTCCTCTTTTTTATTGTTACTGAGAATCTACAGCAGTAAATACTTCTATTTTTATGAATGTTTAAGTTACTGTTACTCTTATTTTTTTTAAAATAATGTACCTAGTAGAAATATAGTCTAATGGACCCTGTTTGAAAAACGTTAAATTAAATAGGTATAATATTTAAAATACAGTTATCCTCCTTGTACATGGCTACAATACAACTAAAAAAACTAATTTAATAAAAAAAACAAGTAGTTGTAGAAAAACTTTAAATATAATTTTTTTTATTTTTTAACATCGAAACTCGAAGGTATAATAACAGGTATCATACCAACCACAGAGTGTGTCATAAAAATGTTTTGAATTTTTACTAGAATCGACCCTTGATAAAAAAGGGACTAGATTTAAGTTTCCCTTTGATCCAGTGTGTATACTATTTCTTTGGTTTTTCTGCACGTGTGCAAAAACTACACTAAAACACTATATCTTATAGAAAATAAAATATTGTGCATTGAATTTGAGGGATTTCATCTGAAAAATTATTAATTTGGAAGAAAACCGACAACAAGCGGCAGACTATTATAATATCTTAGTGCAGTCTACTGGTCGCAACTACCAACGGACGGCCAGGATGTTAGTGTGCGCTGTATCATTTGATTCAATGGTTTCAGAGGTAGCAACGGCCTGGCCGGTGCGACCTGGTCGTCAGTGTGTTCGAGCCCTTAGTAATAAATAATAATATATATTTTTCTAGAGAGTTTTTTTCATTTTGACTTCTTTATTCGTTGCTTATTCTTGATGTCATTGTAAGCAATCTAAAAAAAATCAGAGCTTTGACAAAAACCAATTTCTGAGACGGTCTTACAGAAGTTACTTCTCCATCTCCAATATCAAACGTACCAAAGATTATGACACAAATGGTTGTGGTGTTTCCCCACTTTCCCGACAAAATTTTCATTCACTGTTATTTCTTAGCTTCATTCTACTGAGGCGTCCATTGAGGAGACAGAGTCATGTTAAAAACACCGTGACAATCCGAAGATTGTTTATATTTAAATCAAGGAAAACCTTTGCTTTTTCTCGGTCGTAAGTCCTGAGAAATCTCTTCGAGTGAACTTTGGAGGATTCCCATTCCAGGTTATGGATGGAGCATTCCAGGTTCTTGAGTTTCCCTTAAATTGGGTTTCCGCTTGGAAAGCAGAACGGTTCTGGTCCAGTTAATATAGTGTTCGCTCCTTTTCTGGCTAGATCGTTTTCTTTTTCATTATATTCTATCCCTTGGTGGCTGGAGTAGGAAGACTTTATTTTCTTTACCTAATTTTTTTCAGCTTCTCTATGCATTCTTTTTCCAACTTCGAATTGAGGGTTACTGTTACTGAGTTGATCGCTTTAAGGGTTGCTTAACTATCGAATAATAAGATGGCTATTTCTTGTTTCCAGTAGTTCCTATCTAAGATAAGTTATACGCATCTTTCGATGGCGCAGATTTCTGCATGAAGGATGCTGGCGTAGGTGCCCCTATTGGTCTGGGGTATTTTGTTTTGCGCCGAACAACTCCGATCCCTGTTCTTGTTTTGGTTTTGGATCTGCTGAGCAAATATTTCTCTCTTCCAATTCTTTTTGTTCTTCAATACGTTAAATGTAGAAAGCTTCTAGGTTAACACCCGGATGCAAATTTCTCAATGGCTTCATTTTATTTGAACATAAACTAGAAATATCCATATAAAAGGTAAACTTTAAATATTATCTTTATAAATATAATGTAGTAGTACTTGTTATTATAAGATATCATATCTCTTGACGTTCTATGTTTATTATTACCTACTGTTAGATATGTACATACTCATATATCGATACGATTTCATCTTTTTATCTATATCGCACCATGCTAGTATTTAGCCGAACTAAAAATCTGAATGAAATTATCTTCCTCGTAACAGATAAAGAGGATATCTTATATTTACTAGAGATTTTCGTCGTTATTATAGAAGCCGTATATCAAAAAGATAGAAGATTTTTGCATATTATCATCCCCAGGGGTTCACTCGAACCTATCGCCGCATTATCTCTTTAAGATACTGTATCATTACAAACATTGGGCCATATCTTAGATTAAAAGGGAGACCTGTTGTCTGTTTTTTCAGGATATCGTTTTTTAAAGGCCGCAACACTTATCTCTCTATCTTTCATTCATCTGTCAGAGATACGCGATATTTTCTGATAAATATTATATAGTTAAACAGAATGACTTTTGCTTTAACACTTTTTAGATTAAGATATCAAATATAAACAGTGTCTATTATTTCAGGCACTGGACAGCCCCTTATTATTGAAAAAAACTCCTGGTTTATGAGATATTTGTAGTCAAAAATCTCATAAACTAAGAGTTTTTTTTTCAATAATAAAGGGCCATTTTGTGCTTGAAACACTAGGATCTAAAAAAAAGCTAATACGTTGTAAAGCCTATTGTGTCTGTCCCAAATATATCGTAGGCGTACAGCGAAAATCCACTAAGTCACATTTTTGGTTGAAATGGATTAAACACACCACTATGTCCAGTTTTTCACGGTCTTTAACATGAAAAACCTATTAAGTCCAATTTCGGCATCCTTATATTATATTATAAGGATGCCGATCATGTTAAAGACCGTGAAAAACTGGACATAGTGGTGTGTTTAATCCAATTCAACCAAAAATGTGACTTAGTGGATTTTCGCTGTACGCCCACGATATGTATGTCTGCACTTACTCTTCTATCCCTGTACCCTATATCAACTTGTGCAGGTCCTTGATATGGAAGCATAGTTACTCCGGTTCTAGCCTAGCTTTCCCTAATAGAAAGTTCGAATCCTTGCGAAGATTGCAATCCAGAGCCTTGCAGTGACAGTATATCCGCCGTTTCAGGATGTTTCATTCTGCAGACTCCGCAGCAAAAACTTGAGTTTGTTCATGTAGCACTTCTTCTTCTTCCTACTCTATATTAGTCAGATTACCTGTTCATTCTTCACATCATGCCTACAATTTCAATCCATGGTAACACCATCATTTTCGTGGCCTTCCCGTGCTTCTTCTTCCCAGTGGTGATTTGTCTCCAGCTGACCTTACTATTCTTCCCTCGTTCATTCGGCTTATATGTTTATCCCATTCGCGTCTTCTGCTCAATACCCACTCATTAATGCTATCCACCTGGCATCTTTGCCTTATGTTGTCGCTTCGTTCTTTATCTAGCAGCGTTTAAGCTGTGATATTGCGGGGGATTTTCATCTCGCCTGTTTCCAACAATCTTTTTGTTTTTGCTGTATCCGGTCTGGTTTCTGCTGTGTAGGTCATTATGGCTCTGATTGTATATTCTTGACTTGACCTCGACACCTATGTATTTGTTTGTCCATATGGTGTCGTCCAGACATCCAGCCACTCTCATTGCTTTTGTTGTTTGTTGTCTTACCTCTGTTTCGATATCGCCATAACCGGATAACTCTAATACCGAGATATTTAAATTTCATTTTTTGCTGTATCATTGTGCTATTCACGACAATCTTGCATCTGATAGGTATTTTTGATGTTGTCAGGCTCTTTGTTTTGGATGCAGAGATTATCATGTCATAATATGTTGCTACTAGATTGAAGCGATATACTAGTCTTTTGAGGTCGACCTCATTTTCTGCGAATAGCACAGCGTCGGCATAACACAAAATTGTAATATTGCGGTCTCCCTGCGGTTTGGTTTGATTATTTCGTTCATGATTATATTAAAAATAAGTGGGCTTAATGAATCGCCGTGTCGGATGCCTTTCTCTACAGGTATTGTAAGGTACAGTACTACTATTAGCCTGGATTTTGTTAGCACTGTATATATTTTCTATGACTTTAATTAAGTTCTGATGTCTTTAGTATGACTTTAGTTAAGTCAGCTGGCTCTGGACCAAGATATGATTCGGATGATTCTTGTCTTGCTAGTTCTCAGCTTTTTCGTTGACTTGAAGAGCCACAAAGATGATTAAAATAAAGAAAGATTGCGCCTTGCTGAATACTGCCATTTTATGTTTCGAAGATATACATATTTATAGAAAACCCTGAATTTTCCGATCAAGTTTTTGTTTTAAATAACTTTCGTGATTTTTGAATAACTAGCTTTTAAACACACCAGAAGATAGTTATGTCAATTATTCATATCCTTTTTTAGGTATTGAATTTGACACATCATGTTATATTTACTATCGCAGGTGAACAGACCAATTAGCATGAAGAAAGAGGGGATCCAAACGAGAAAAAGGAGGCCAAAAAATTCCAACAGCAATCAGCAACATCCCAACAGTCCAACCACATCCGGCATGCACCAACAAAGAATGAGTAAGTACTAGACAATAAGAATAACAAAAGCTCGGTAAAACTAAAATTCAAAGCTTGTGTCGGAAGAATTTACAAATGTTTTTTTTAAACCACGGAAAAATGCAAAAAGAGGATGAAGGTATTCCTGTAGCAACTTTTGCGGTAGCTCAAGAGGCAACTGCCCATTTAGTACTGCCTACAAAGTCTAGAGAACAATATCTATAACTAGACGGCAAAATCTATAATAATTACAGTTGGGGGTTGGAACCTTTGGTGATTGACTATAGCAAAATAAATCATTAATTCACCACAATATGCGGGATAAAAAGTTATTTTATCCTACTAGTAGATAAAGTACCGTATGGTCGAAAAAACGGCGTCCAGTTAGCTTGGAAATGAACATCAATGACATTTTCCATATAATTTTAGATATAAAATGACAGCGATCTTCATTTCGTAGCTATTGCTGACACCATTTTTTTTTCGGTCATACTTAAAACGCTTCCTATGAGTGGATGAAATATAAGTTTATGATTACTCTGTGAATAAAATAATATAATTCAAATAAGACAATAGATATTCGATAAAACAAATTCAAAAAATGTTAGTAGTTATCTTCTTTTCACAAATAATACCTATTTTTTCTAAAATGTCTGAGAATTTTTATTTGTTTAAAAAGTGGCGTAATTTCTAAAACAGGCAAAATTTCGAAATAGAATTAAACGTGTAACCTGTAATAAAATATAAGCGATGAACAAATACACCAAATAGACTGTTATCAGATCACTATCGTCAAATACGACAAACTGAACGGTATGGTTGACTGATAACCTGTGATAATAAATCTAAACAACTTCAAAATCCAGAATTCAAGGTTTTGACACAATATGTGGTTAAAAAGAAACATTTGAAAATTATTGTCAATACGTAAAATAAATTTAGTTGGTTCCAAATAAAATTAGTTATATTCGGCGTCAAAAATAATAATTTTGGCGACAAAGTCAATTTCTAGACGTCATTTACTAAAAATTGACACGTAAAATTTGTCAAAGTTAACACTAGTTATAGACAGATTGATAAATGATAGAACGTTTCCAGACTCAAATCTGTACTAAAAAAAATATTTTTTCTAGTATTTTAAACTACACAATTTATTATGCCCTCCTATGTTCATCTATGTCTACGAAATATTAGGACACCCTGTATATTATACCGGGTGTTTTTGAAACGTATCTCACCCATATAACTTTTTTATTTTTTCAGATAAAAAAAAAACAAGGTTTGCTATTTATGTATAGGACATCATCAGGATTGATTGACATAATAATATTAAGTTAGTTTCTGTCTCTTCCTAACCGGAAATGACTACAGCTTTTGATTTTTAAACGGTACGCTCGGTATATTTTTCCTTTGATTGAAAATTACATTCAGAATAGAACGATATATCATATTTTAACTTCTGACACTTTCGCTTAAAAAATTGTATATTAAATTTCAGTCTAAATTTCCATGGCTGTGATAAAACCACTAATTTTTAGTCAATGAGGTAGATGCGCTTTGGACAATTATGGAAAAGTTCGGAGTACCCAACAAATTTCTTACAGTGTGTTAAAGCCTCCCTAACAACAACAAGTCAAGAGTGTCACATCATGGATCACTGAGCGACCCATTCCTAACAAATACAGGAGTTAGCCATCAGGGATGTGTCTTAGCGCCTCTCCTATTCAACATATTCATGGCAGCGCTCTCCATTATAGGGACAGCAAACTGCAGGAGAGAGGATTGGGCATTAGATACAGATACGACGGCGGTCTGTTCAACATAAAAAGACTCAGGGATAAAACACGTACAAAATTCATCACAGAACTTCAATACGCTGATGACTGCGCTATAGTTGCAAACACAGTACAACAATTACAAGAAATGTTGAACACATATACCTGGGCAAAGGAGGCTTTGGGCCTTAAGCTAAACATCGACAAAACTAAAATCATATGCACTTCCCCGGAAGATTACAACAATGCTATAAAATCGGAGAAGAACTATTGGAATATGTGGCGGAATTCAATTACCTTGGCAGTTTGATTTCGGAAAAGGCCAATATTGACTCTCAAATTCAATACAGGATTAGCAGCGCCTCAAGAGCATTTTGGAAATTAAAAGACAGGGTTTTGCAACTTGCAGTGTACCGAGTAATTATAATCCCCACCATGTTATATGGGAGTGAAACCTGGGTACCGTACCCCGCCGACACGAACGCATTAAACAAGTTGCAACAGAGACACCTTAGACAACTCTTAAGAATCTAGGTGGTTCCATCATGTCTCATACGTATCGGTCCTTGAAAAAGCTAACTACGAGAGTATTGAAGTCCGTTACAAAATCCCGGTTAAGATGGGCTGGTCACGTGTGCAGAATGCATGAAAACCGCATACCAAAATCTCTGCTTTACGGTGAGCTTGTAGACGGTAAGAGGAGGCCGGGTGGACAACTGAAAAGGTACAAGGACATTTTCCACGAAAACTTGAAGGGGATTAACATGCAGAATGAGTGGGAAGGAGCAGCTCACAATAGAACTCAATGGGGAAGAATTGTAAACTCAGTTAACAGCGACAACCAAAAAGTAAAGAGGCAACAAAGCAATGAGATTTTTGAATGTTCGGAGTGGGGTAGGCAGATAACATCACGTATCGGGCTTTTCAGTCACAGAAAACCTCATGAAAGAAAACGCCTTGCGTGACCATCTTCTTCAGTGTGTCGAATAGGGTAGACGCACCATTTGTGGCCATTAACCCTGTTGTAGCCACATCTTTAAAAAATCTTAAAAATTAAGCTTTTTCACGTCATTGTGATAACCGTGCATCTATAATTTTCTAAGTAGATATATCGAGCGCCATACCCAATAGAAAATATTCAAATTTGGTGTAAATGTTGGCCGTTAAATCAAAAAGTAGTAGCACATATTTACTAGATGCTGTTTTCTTAACCCATTTCTTAAGGATAGCTTGGTAAGTAGAACTCAAATTATTAACAATAATCTGTGTTAGGGTTTAATTTTCCATGATTTTTATAAATATTATACATCTGGCAACTATTTTTCAAATTTATTATATTTAAATAATTAATATTTAGGAATTATTTCTGTGGCCACAAAAGGTGTAATTAAATATTAATTATGTTCTACTTGTAGCCAGGTTATGGCCAAAAATGGTGCAATCGAGATCTAGTTGTGGCCATATACTATTTAGCTTTAAAATGTAAGTGTAAACGACGCACAGTGCTTCGAACATATGGCTCTAGAGGACAAAAATCCAAAACTTCTCTTTTATTGTAAGCAATTTATTCAAACTAGGTTTATTTGGCACAAATGATGAGTACTCTCATTGTACTAAATGATGATGTTCTTAGTCCCACGTTTATGAAAAAAAAATCTTATAAATAATAATAATGTTGGATCTGTGTTCCATCTAAGCAAATAATAAGTTATAGTATGAAAACGGTGTAAGTATTAAATAAATTTCTGTGATAAAAAAAATTGAAATAACATTAGAACATGATTCCTACAATATAAGCCTAATATAAGATAAAAATGTTTTTCTTTAATGAAAAAGAAACATTAATGTTATATTTAATTAAAAAAAAACTTAAGATACTATAAATTTACTTTAGGACAACAAAATGCATAGATCGTAACTACTCTGATTCAGGAGAATTTCCAAGCCAACTGGACGCCATTTTTTTTCGATCATACGGTATAAGATAAAAATGTTTTTCTTTAATGAAAAAGAAACATTAATGTTATATTTAATTAAAAAAAACTTAAGATACTATAAATTTACTTTAGGACAACAAAATGCATATAGATCGTAACTACTCTGATTCAGGAGAATCACTGCTGACAGAATCTTCCAAATTTATAGTATCCAAATCACAGGTAGATGAACTATCCTCACATATAAGATATTTCTGTACATCATTTTCTAATATGTTACTTTTTCGCGTTGTTACTGTTCATTTTGTCGGTATGAGAGGTTCGGATGTTAATAGTTACATCTTTAATATACCTTCTCCATATATTATTTTTTCCTTTTCTTGGGTATAACATTTTATAATAAATTGAAAGATGGACATTTTTTTTATGCGACGTTTCGCTCCAACATAGTGGACTTTTTCAGGCACAAGTGGTGTCTCATTTGACTGGAAGGTTCATCAATATCTAATAAGAACATATTTTTTGAAATACAAATAATTTTGAGTTCTTATCCTTATGATCAAGCCAAGTATTAACCAGATCGGCATTGCTTATCAATTTTACTCCATCTGAAAAGTATTATAAAATAAAGTTCGTCGCAAGCAGACGCAGGTGAACTATACAAAAAATAAAAGTGTATGAATATGGCAACAAAAATATTCAATAAATACGATATGTTTTAATATGTTTTTTTTTAAATGCCTTTTTGAAGTTTGAAAACGTAAAATTTTTATACCCATTTAAGAATCATCTTAAAAAATAAATAAAAACTAAACAATCACGAACTTGTTTAGAAATAAATTTAAAGTACATACCTTGTTTAACAATATCCATAGTGGCTTTCAATTAAGTACGTACCCGTACGTACCATAATATACAGAACTACTATGAATGTTATTCTTTTCACTGATGAGATAATGATCGCAAAATTTATTTTTAGTGAAAATATTTGCTAACAAAAACGCTGTTTATGAAAAATAATATACAGGATGGTTGAACATTGCTATAAGTATAAAATTATATATTCAGATATTAGTAAATTTTAACTTATTTTTTGATTTTTGTCCATGGGACGGAGCACTGTGCGACGGACGACATAACACGAAGAACATTTTATTTGTTATTATTCAGCTTTTATTAAAAGCTGAAAAATAATAGTACCTAAATATAATAATATTCCAAATACAATTTTCGACCAAGATTACCAATCTGAACATATACCGTCATCAAGTTTTTCTTGAGATGAGAAAACTAATATAGATATAGAACTAAATGTAATAAAAATGAACGAATGCCATAAAAATAAAAATTATGACAATTCAAAGGAAGATGATTCAGGACCACTAGACCAAACCATGCAGGCAAAGAAGATTAGACATAATTATGAACCAAACCATGCAGGCAAAGAAGATTAGACATAATTATGAACGCAAGGAAATTGTTAGTCTTTAAAAAGAAAGAGGCTACATCTACTATCAGTCATTACCTGTAATAAGTGGATTGAATTAATGAAGTGAAAGGAGAAAAAAACAAAAACTGGCAATGAAAACTTTACAAAAAAGAAAACAATTAAAATAAAATTTAAAGAAAATAAAGATCTTTCTAGTAGAAATGAAAAAAAAAACAACGTCAGCTTAAACTTCTGTGACATCTGCTGAATTTAATATAAGAAATTGTATTATTTTAAAGTACGGAAATCAGTTGTATCCAGGAAAAATATTACACATTGAAAATAATGAATATTATAGCTGCGTAGTGGTTCAAATCTGCGGCAATTGGAAGTAAAAATGACTTGCTTTGGTACAAACTGAGTGATATAACAATGAAAATTGATGAATCTAAAAAATCAATTCAAGACGCATATATTATTATGTGGTACTTGAACTAACAAATATTCAAGAATATTCTGTTAAATTAGTGTACTTTGCTTATTGTTCCTCAAATTAATAATATGTACCTAATTTGTATTTAACATTTGTATAACATAGAAAAAAAGCAAAATTAGGTATCACTTGATTTGTTTTAAGAATTATAGGAATAAATGTTCATGTTTTATTTTGTTAAAAATAAAAACAATTACCAAATGTCTCTTTTTATGTCTTTTTTTAAGAAATTATAAATAAAATAATATTACATATTTGCCTTAGTTATCTGCAAAACTCAATATAGAGAATATTTTTGCAAGAATGTGGCCACAAATGGTACTAAATGTGGCCACATTTGGCACAAGGTGGCCACAATTGGGAAAAATCGCATGTTTTTATAAAATGTTTATTTTCTGTTTATTAAGAATACAGATCTTTACAATAAAAGCAGATTCTGAAAGAAAAATGTTTGAAGAAGCACCAAAAATTTTGTTTTATCTCCAAAATTAACTACAAATATTTTTTCTAATAAGTCAAACTCTAAAAATCCCTTAACCTGGCCACAACCGGTGCTTCTACCCTACTCGTCAGCGAGTAATGGCTGTATGTATGTATATGTAATTTTGAGTCAAAGAGCATTGAAAAAATAGTTCGATCGTCTAATGTTTATCATAAAAATTAAAAATACTAATTTCTTGAATAAAGTACGAAAATATCGAGGGTACCATTTAAAAATCAAAAGTTGCAGTCATTTCCGGTGAAACAGGAAGTGATCGAAAATAATTGAATGCGTCATTCAATCCTGATTTATGTCCTACACTAATATAGGTACAAATATCGTTTTTTTTATCTGAAAAAAACTTTTGAAAAACAGCCGGTATATATGGCTCTACTTAAGATAAATAATTAGCAGCCCTTTAAGGTTCAATTTAGGTTCAAGGGCCCTTCAATTTAGATTGGTATCAAAATTATATCCTATAAAAATATTTTTTAGAGGATATTTGTATAAAAAATGTAATGAATATATACATTTCAAGGGAGAAATTGAATGAATTCCTGTCATAATCAAATACCAAAACGGTTATGTGTGTATATAATATGTTATATGTTACTCGGATCGATGAGGATATATATCACTCTTAGATAAAATTCAAGTGCTGTGTAAATAACGGTAGACCTGATACAGATAAGGACTTAATATGAATTTTGAGGGAAAAATTTTATTGGATGGAATATGGAATATAATGTCGATCGAACGAGTTCCGAGAAACTCATAATTTATTTTACCTTTCCTAATAATAAACCGTATATAAAACAAACAGTATTTCAGAATGATTGTTCACGATATATTATAAAATTTATTCGAGGGTATTTGGACACATAGAATAGTATATATTTCAGAATTTGTTGAATCTCTATAAAAAAATTATATACAGGGTGGTCCGAACTGTATTCCGGAAACTTCGGCAGCATATTTTACTGATAAAAATAAGTAAAAAAGTTCATATAAATGTATGTCTTAAAATGCTTAGTTTCGGAGATACAGGGTGTAGAAGTTTCATTTTTATTTCGATTTTTTCCAAATAATTTCTGAAGTAAAGTCAATATTTGGATGAAAATTGGTGTTTGGTAGTTTTTTGATATGAGAAATTTGATTTTGATGTCAATATGACTCCTGTGGGCGCCACCTACATGTGTTTAACTGTTTTGAAGAGTAACTAACTTTTTGTCCGTACCTGTATAAAACTACTGAGTGAAAAAATATACATTTCCGAGATTTTCTACGTAAAAAATGTCTCTTGGTAAAAATCGCTACGAGCAACCGTTCTCAAGATATTTACAATGGAAATAGTCAATACATGTCACAATTGGCTAAAAATAAACATGTTGAGTAGATAGTTATTTGATTGAAATGAGAAATTTGGGAATTTTGTACTAAAACTAATCATAAATTTTTCTTCGATAAAATGATGATAAAACAGTATTTGTTGAACTTTTGGCATAAAAAGATTTCAAATTTATGATTTTAGTCTAATAACAAATTATATTATTATTATTGTATTAATATTAATATTAATGTCAACATGTTTAATTTATGTCAATGATGACAGGTATTGGTAATTTCAATTCCAAATATCTCAAGAACCATTACTCATAGCGATTTTTACCAAGAGACCTTTTTTAGGTAAAAAAAACGTCGTAAATGTATATTTTTTAACTGGCTAGTTTTATACAGGTACGGACGAAAAGTTATTACTCTTCAAACCAGTTAAAAAATACGTAGGTGGCGCCCTCTACAAGTAGGAGCCATATTGACATCGAAATCAAATGTCAAAAAACTCCCAGACACCAATTTTTATCCAGATATTGACGTTACTTCAGAAATTATTTGGAAAAAATCGAAATAAAAATGAAACTTCTACACCCTGTATCTCCGAAACTAAGCATTTTAGGACATACCTTTGTAAGAACTTTTTTACTTATTTTTATCTGCTGAAAATGCCGCCGAAGTTTCCGGAATACAGTTCGGACCACCCTGTATAATATATCAAATTTATTTGCTTTATCTCTATAAAATTTTAGTTACAGGGCTTATATACCGGTATAATATTCAAAAATACCTTAAAAAATTATATAAAAACTGTTTAGTTTGAATAGCATATGTCAATTCAAAGTCACAACCATCCGGGCTTGGAAATTACAATTAATCCATAAACTTTTACTTATTATAAAATGACAGCGATATGTTGTGTAAAATGAATAAATCATTAACAGAGTGAAATAGGTCCAATTATTATATCAATTTATTATATATTTTGGAAAATATTTATTAACAAATTCTATGAAAATTTCAACATGGAAAAAGTGTTTTAACTGCAGTAATTATGTATGTTATGTAAACTTATAAAAAAAAAAGAAATGAAAGGAAAGGATTTGAAGGAAGCCAAATCTGAAGTGAAGGAAGCCATCAACATTTTTATTTGAAAGCGTCTTTGAGCATTCACCATTTTGTCAACAAACAATATATAATATCTAACAAATTTCTCCATTTTTATTGTATCACCAAGGGTTCCAAATTTAATGATGTATAATTTAATGTACAACATTACCTGTAATTACAATAATTTCAATTTAATTTCTACTTTAAATCTATTAAACTACTGTTAATGGAAAATATCATTTATTTGGCGAATGCGCTAGGATAGGGGGTTTCAAAATTAGTTTATTACACACATTACTATTTATTTTGCAAAATAATTGTTTTTGTGATTTTTATTTATGCAATCACTGGATGCTCTACATATTTCAATACCTTTCTAGATTTGAAGAAATACCAAATATAAGCTAAAAACTTTTTTCTTATGATCAATTTCATCCCAAACGATGGTACAAATATTATTGATAGAACGATCATTCTTTAATTAATTTTCTCTTTTTTTCAGATGCCACCCCTTTGTACTATCAAAATATTCCCCAAGAGATTGAGTTACCTAGTGACCAGTATCAGCTACCCCAAAATGTGGTAGTCAGCAATCTCTATCCAACACAGTACCATAGAAATCAACTTCAAAGCGTTGAACATTTGACACGTCAAATGCCCAAGTAAGTGAGTAAAGTTATTTTCATTATACCTAAACAGATAACTAACATATTCACCATTTAAATTAATCTTAACATTATTTTTGTAATATAACAAACAACAAAAAATAACACTAATACTATACACCAAAACTTTGTATTTTTAACACTGGATGGGCGTTTCGCTAACGCTAACCCCGTTAGCACAATTCACCATTATATCTATTCATATTGTCACTACATTTATTTATTTTGATACATTCAGAGATAGTGAGAAAATAATAAAGTGTGTTTTTTCTTTATACACTCAGATACAAGAAAAACGCAACGGAGAAATTTTTGGCCAAATTTAAAGTGTTATATTTTTGTTATTTATAACCCTATTTTCATGAATTTTTTAGCAAACTGTATATAATTATATCAACTCTAATTCGTAATCTCGTTTTTTTTATAAACTTTAGTAATTGGCATATTATACAGGGTTAATCGAGGGGTTGTTTTTTATCCTAACTTTAAAACACCCTGTGCAATAATTTCGTGTGTAAATTTTCCTAAAATATAATTTTACAGTAAGAACCATGTCTACTGAGCATTTTATTTTTTGGATCATGTCAATACATGCTTTTGTTAATTTTTGAGAGCGAAATGATTTTTGATCACGATCAATTTGCATTTTTTTCAATTATCATTACTTATGATGTAATTTTTTAATATGATGAGATAGTTTTGGTGATTATTGTCGTAACGTCATATTACGCTGCATCGTATACTCTATACTAAATTTACAAAAAAAAAACGTTTTTTTTGCATTTGAGTGTAGTTTTCTACTAACGCCTTTAATGTGCAACTAAATATTTTATACATGTATTTTTTATAGCATTAATGTCCAGCCTCTGCAGCCAATTATGACAACGGACGAAGACCATCAGCATACCGTGATCCTGTCAGCTCAGTCAGGACAATACGAGGATGTTGAAGAGGACCCCGATGAGAATTCTTAATTATAACTACTATTCTTAATTTAAAATTATTTATTTTTAGACGAGAAAATGTCTAGTCTATTAGTATCTTAAAATTTGCCTTTTTATCGTAGTTTTATCCGTCGCGTCGTTAGCGTAAAATATCAGGGCCGGATTAATCAATTAAATTTTGTAAAATAACAAAATCTGTTAATCTGCTTTGATTTCACAGAGTGAGAGTAACGATCAGAAATTACTGTTCGACACGTCGACAGGGTGTTTCAAAAAAAATGTGCCATCTCTCGTAGGCAGATTCCTCTCGCAAAAATAATATTTATTTTTCATATCAACATAGGTCCGATTTTTTTCGATTTACTATAATTTTCTTCCAAGTGCTTTTAGTGATTCGAAAAAAAATTTGAGGATTAAAGATACTATAAGTGCTACATATTTCAATACTAAAAAAGTGTCGATAGATCAGGGACGTGCATACTAAGGGCTGGCAAAGGTTAGTTTTGGGTCGAAATTTCCGTATGTAAGAAGAGTACAATGCCTTTATAATGTACTGAACAAAGAGAGAACAGTAAACACGTTGCCAAACGTATGAAATAAACCGAGAAACTGTACATACTAAGAGACGTGGGAGGGGATATAGCAGATTTGTCGCAGTTGACCCCAAATCAGTACCTCTGTCAGTACTTAAAGATCTAGGGAAAACGTCTCGTGATATTTTATTTGTTTATTTATTAACGAGTCGTTGTAATTTTCCCTATAGCTTAAAATTTTTTAAGTGCCAGTTAGAAACACTTGCATTTTTGGTAAAAATACGTGGAATTGAGTTAGTTTTCGACAGTGATTGCGCTATTAGAACTCTGAATTCAAAAATCAATATCTCAAAATCTATTAGAAATAAATGATTGTAGTTTTTTTCAAAAACTTTCTTAATATTTCTGCTATATTTTCTTCGCAGACAGTATGTAAAAATCTTTATAAATAAAAAAGTTCCACGATTGCTGAAAATTGCTAGGCACTAAAAGTAAATGGATGAGTTATTTAAAATTTTTGAATGGAAAAAAATTCGACAAGGTTGCAACATGTTGTAAAAGATCCGATCTTTAAAATAAAAAAAGTTGTTAAAAAGTTGAGTTTTTAAATTATCGCGATTACTGACGTTTTCTCGTTATAAAACAATGAACACCCTAACGATATCCTTATAATTCTATTTCAGATGCTCAGAAACTTATCTAATGATTTTATCTAGTTATCTTTTCGAAAAAAAGTTTTAAAAATAAGCGGTTTACGATCGTGATTTTACTTTACTTGATAGGGAAAGGCATACCGGCAACGCCACAACAGCACACCGTCGCATTTCTCTTACTCCGACTTAATAAGATCCCTCTGCGATTTACTTCCACACATGTAAATACCGACCCAAAAGTAACAGTTGCCAGCACGGTATATGTTATCACTGGAATATTTTTTGAAAAAAAAAAATTAACGCCACTGACTTTTTTTCTTTTGATAGCCAAATTGTATAGGCCGTTTAACGCCAATTACAAACTCCAATTTAGGCTCCTTGATGAGATAAACGTAATTTTATTAATAGACAGTTAATAAAATTAATTTAAAAATAAAATTAATAAATTATTTATTTTATCTAATTTATATTATTAAATATTATTACTATTAGTCCAACCTACAGCAAATTCAAATAAAAATAGTGGAATTTAAGATAATTACAAATGAGCTAATTTTAAAAAGTTTTAACATCCTGTTATTTTAAAACTGTGCATTTCCATACCCATATTATAAGAACTTTTTTCATATTTTTTGATAAGGAATCAATGGGTCTCATCATAATACAATAATTGTATCACATTTTTTAAAGGTTGCTATTAGACTTGGATCTTATCAAAGAGGCCAAAACAAAAACCCAAAGGCCAAAAATCGACAAAACATCAAGAGACAACTTTTAATCGGCCCATTAAACGGCTTATTTTTCTAAGAAGACAACAAAAAATCAGTGGCGTACATGCTTTTTTTTTAGAAAAATATTCTATTGATAACCCGTCTCTGGTGAATATATCGACACTTTTTTAACATTAAAATATGTCGCATTTATAGTAGCTTTTACCCTCAAAATTAAAAAAAAACGCTAAAAGCACTTGGAAGAAATATATAATAAATCGAAAAAAAATTAAGACTGCAACACCTTGTAGCCACGACATCAGAATCGGACCTATGTTGATATGAAGAGAATCGGACCTGAAAAGCAGAATCGGACCTATGTTAATATGGAAAATAAATCTTATTCTTACGTGAGGAACCTCCCTACGGGAGATGGCACATGTTTTTTGAAACACCCTTTATAATAACTAAAAACATTACATATTTAGAAGAAAAATAAAACATTATTGCTAATAAGTGAACTATTAACTATTTGTTAAGCAAAATGTTTAATCCGGCCCTGATTTAAACAAAATTTCAATTTATAATAGACCCTGAATAGAGTACAATGCAATGGATCAAAATGTATTTAATTGATTTTATGAATTATTTTTAAACTGATTACTGGTATTTGTAATCAGACTTAACAAGTATTATTGTTCAAAATCTAATTTCAATAAAATGGGAGTTTTTCGTAAAACTGACATACTATATTTATTATATTTTCAGAGAAAACCAAAGATATAGGTACATAAAATAGTAGTTTTGATGAACACACAAAGAACGATTATGTATTTCTTGTAAATATAAAGTCAAATTTTAATGTAAAGGTTTAAATTTTAAATTTTATACTTCACTACTCTAGTTTTTAATTTTAAAAATCGAATTCTTGACTAATGTTAACTTATACACGTGATTCTTTAAGGAATTAGGTATATCGTATAAAATTAAATCGGCATAAAATAATGTTTAATAAATTGGGGTACAAATTATGAATATTAATTAACCAATAAGAGATATTATAGTTTCTAAGATAGTTAACCCCCACAACCAAAGTTCTAGGCTATACGTGTTCTTACTACAAACATTTTTATCTTTATATATTTATATTTTATAAAATTTTTACGGATTTAATGTAATGTACAATTAAAAATTGGAAATAATAAAGTTTAATTTGAAATGTACTTATTTATTTTATTACTTTCTTCAATATATGATTGAATGAAAACAGGAAGTGAAGTCACAGTAAATGTAGAAATAATATTTTAATTCTAGTTTTACTATACATTGCTGAAGTTGATTACAGTATAACTGAATAACTTATTAAATGTTAAAACCGCGATATATAAATATGCAGGGTGACGCACCTCATTCTTATTCGATTATACGAAAACGGAAAGATGTAGGAACAAAATATTTTATGGGTATATGTGGGGAGGTAATATGGACAATTTAAAATTATTTTGAAATGCACAGGGTGTTTCGGAACTAAGATCCATACTAAAGTTATATTTTTTCTTATGGAACACCCAGTATTTTATTTCATTTTTGGATTCTTGGACCCAAAAAAGGTATTTATTATAAAGGTTAAATATGTTTAAAATCTTTGGTTTTTGAGATATTTAAAGATATTTAAATTTGCATGCGACAATAGAATAGATTATTAACACCCTGTACATTAATTTTCAGAATTAATTCTTGTGCTGAGTTTAAAGGTAGAGAAATAAACTTGTATACAGGGGTATCAAAAATTGCTAGTCCATTTTAAATATTTATTTTACATAAAAACTTCGTTATTTCAAATGCAACACTATGTATTTTTTAAATAAGTCGAAGCAGATTTAAATGCTCTTTCAATCTATAATAGGGTTTCCTATACATATCTGGCTCAGATTTTGAATAAAAAGCGATTTTTCAATAAAACTGTAATCAAGATGGCTAGTGTTGTCATGGCAAGTTTCTAGTGACAGTAGCTATTTTCAAAATTGAAATTAGTTTATGGACTTATTTAAATTTATACCAGTTTACCCAGTTATACCAGTTTTTTATATTACTTTTATTTAATTTACCTACAATAGTTTAATAAATAATATTTATTATTCTATCAAGAAAAACGAATAAGTATAGTTCTTTGAATTATTTGACGATTACTTGTAGATATGGATTTTCTATAAAAGAGCCAATTACGGCAAATTCATTTTCTTCACTTCCAACGACAGGTTTCTGCCTAATAGGTTTTTTATAAACCCACTACCAGCTCTGCGAAATAGGACAAGAAGTTTTTCAAAGAAACGCTTATCTGGAAGATTCCTATTTCGATATCTTTGAGCATAAGCCCCTGAGACCAAGAAGCAATTTTCATCACAAAATAATATCACTAGTAACATATCTATTCGTTCTGCCAGCAGATACTGCTTTATTTTTCTTGATAAAGTAATGAACACTTACTTATTAAACTATTCTAGGTAAATTTAAGTAAACTGTTATTGAAATTATAAATAATAATGTCCATACTAATGTCGACTTTGAAAATAGTTACTAAATGTCACTAGAAAATTGCCATCAATCCCCTATGTGGCAAAGGGCATGACACCTGACAAGTAGGACGGACCACAACAGATGGACCACAAAAATTACAGCATGATACCCACGAGGAATTAAGAGATTTAGAAGAAGACCGAACTCTGAATTGGGACCACGATATTAGAAAATTAACAGGGATAACTTGGGACAGCATAGCCAACAGTAGACAACAATAATGGGCCAACTACAAAAAGAGTATCTAAATATGTGAGGGAGGCTACACATAATAGAAAATGGTTGATTAAGTTGAAAATGATGTTGATAATGATGATGCTTTACAAAAATAAAACAAATATTTTATGACATATATAGTTTATAATTTTTGCAAAAAATAAGACCAAGACTGCAAGGCCAAGACCAGTCCTGCTCATCACTTTTCAGTGAGCCTTCACCTTGACTGACCTTAACTTGAAGACAAGCTGATGAATCATGACATTGACAACACATTGACAAGCTTTGGAGCTTTTTTGGAGACAAAAAATTGTATTTAGAGTACAGTTTGGATGAAACAAAGATTAGAAGCAATTAGACTTTGAATGAATCCTCCAAGATGATCATTTAGAGTGAATGAGACTTAAGTTAACTGAAAATACTTACTTCTTATAAAGATACACACTTACCGTGTTTTTTAATCCGAAAAAGTATTATTTAAGATGGCAAATCACAAAAATACAGTAGTACTGAATGCAGTGTAGGCGAGGATGGTTCTGAAACGACATTAATTATAAATAATTTTAATACACGATCCTGACACCTACAACATCTTGTTTCAATCCAATATCTCCATTGGTATATCACAAGTTAGATGGGGAGATACACCAAA